GTTCCATTTTTTTTTTGGTACTGGGGATTCAACCCAGGGCCTTTGAACTTAGCTACATCTTCAGTCTTTTTTCTTTTTTCTTTAGAGGCAGGGTTTTGCTAAGTTGCTAAATTGCCCCATTTGGTCTCGAACTTGTGACTGCCTTGTGCCATGAATCAATTCCAGCCTCACATGCTCTAGATCCAGCTACTTCTGTAAAAGCCCCACCCTCTCAAGTGCTCGGACTGCCACCACAGCCAGGTGGAGCCCTGGTTCTTAGGCCTCTGGATGATGCAGTCTATTCCTAGAGCTCTGTGTTAACTTCTGAGATACAAAGACAGCAGGACAATGTCCCTGTGAGAAGATTTCTGGAGGAATCTTTTGATTTTAGACACAGTATTATTAGGTTTGGGCCTTTCCAGGTTCTTATTGTCCTGAACAAAGAATTGGCAATAAATGCACCAAAGGTCTCAAGGTTTTACATATCTTAAGGGTAGAAAAAGAAGTGTGCTCTCAAAGCAAGCTTTGAAAGAATGGGAATGGCCGGCAGAGGACACTGTGCCATCCCTAGCGACAAGGATGGTGGCAGCAGGTGGTGGGGAAGAGGAAGCCTATTTTCCAGGTTAACAAACAATAGCATCTGGGGAAACAGTAAGCAATTGAATACAGCTGAGGTTCCCCTGTGAGCCAGGAGGTAAGGGGGAGAGTCCTGAGTGTGACAGAGAGTAAGCTCTGGGCTGTGCACAGGGAGAATGCAGTGAAGTAAGTACGGGCCTGGAGCTCTGGCCCTGAACACCCCAGCTTAGGAAAGAACACACTTCCCATGCACCTTGTTGGCCTGCCCACTTGTCCAAGGGTCCTGGCTCTGGTGGTATCTTTTCTGACACCAATGAGACAGGCAAAGGCAGCCCTGGGGCTGGTGTTGAAGCCCAGAGAGGCAGAGTCAGGCTCACTGTGCTGGAAATAGGGTGGGGGCAGCAGGGGAGAGCTGGACAGATCATATCAATAAACCCTGGGGCTGGGTGAGCAGAGGGCAGAGGGGAGGACTGCAGGAGGGTTTAGGTCTGTTAGGAACACCTTGCTATTCCTTAAGCGATACAGTTGGAGATTTCTTTTCACTTGTTTTGATATCATTGAACTGCGTAGAGAAACAAAGCCGGAGGCCCTAGTGATGACAGTCATTAAAGGAACTGTTGGAGAAGTGGTCTGAGAACTAAGAAATCAATAACAATAATGCAAGTTCACTATACTACTGTGCTAGGCTAGTACGGTGGTAGTGGCAGTGTTCATGGTAGCAAGTGCATTCAATTTTATGTGACAGACACTATTGTCATTTCCATCTTATAGAAAAAAAAATCAAGGCAGGGGATGGTTGGATTGATTTTGCCAGGGTCACACAACCAGAGCTTGGTGAAGCCAGGAACTGAATCCTGGCAGTTGAACTGGTGGAAACCAAAGAAGTTAAGATTTTAAGGAAAACTCAGAGAAAAAAATGTTTTTGCTACCTAATATTTTAATGTATTTTTCTGTAAAAAAAAAAAAAAAGTGAGGTTTCTACTTACTCTAGACATCTCAAGCAGTTCTTCTAACTGGAAAAATTATTAACATATACACAAAGAATTGCACTATGGATGGGGAGGGGCATTGCTTTTCTTTCATAGAATAAAATGTGCTTTTCCTCTCTCCCAGGCACCAGGTACTCAGCAAAATGTGGGCTCTGGACAGGCATTGGCTGCACTGACATGGTCTATAAAAAAATTTGCCGCCGTGTGGGTTGTGGGTGGCTGCCCAAATGTGGTCGCACAGTGATGCCTGTTTACAACTCTAAATTCCTTAAGGCATTGGGCTACTTCACTGTTTTCTCCTAGAAATTTTTATTGTATTTCATTTATATTTACTTATTTTTGTGGTATTTGGGGTTGAACTTTGCACGGAGCTACATCCCCAGCCCTTTATAAAATTTTTGAAGATTTTGAGAGAGGGTCTCCCTAAGTTACTGAGTTGCTTAGGCTGGGCTCAAACTTGTGACCCTCCTGCCTCAGCCTCCCAGAGTGCTGGAATTTCAGGTATGCAGTACCATGCCCAGCTGTTGGTTTTTAAAGACAAGTTCTTTGCTTTGTGTTATGCTTCATATCTAAATGTCCCACACAGCCTCATGCTCTTATAAGTTGGTCATAGGAGTATGATGCTCATCAGCGAATTAGTCCACTGATGAGTTTATAGCTAAATGTGCTGTTGGGAAGTGAAGTCCGGCAGAAATGGTGGTCACTGGGGCTGTGGCCTGGAACGGTCTGTCTCCCTCCTCCCTTCATCTCTCTCTCTTCCTGCTACCATGCCATGAGCTGTTTCTCCTCTGCCATGCCACCCTGCCTTGGAGCCAGCCGACTATGTACTGAGACTTCTACAAACTGTGAGCCAAAATAAACCTTTCCTCCTTAGAGTTGTGAGTATAGTATTGTGTCTCAGCAGTGAGAAAATAACTAAGACAGATTCTGTACCAGAAGAGTTGGGTTGTTGCTGCAACTACCTGACATGTTGTTCAGAAGCCTCTGGAACTGGTCTGTGGGAGAAGCTTGGAAAGATTTGGAGATGCAGGCTGGAGAAACAGCCCTAGGATGATGTAACTGATCTTGATGGGAGATTCTGGTCAGAGTTTGGAAGACCAGAATGCTAATAGAAATGCAGATGGAAAAGACCAAGCTCAGGAGGTTTCACTTGGGAACAAGGACTTCCAATCATGTATGTTATTCTCTGGCAAGAAATTTGTCTACGTTTTGCTCATGTCCAGACTTTGTAGGAGACTCAGATTATCAGATTAATTAATCTGATAGAGGAAATTTCAAGACAGCCTATTGTTGCAGCTGTAGCATGGGTACTGTTGGGAGCTTTTAGCTGCTCTACATTTGAGAATCACCAGCAAAGAGAACAGCTGAGTGATGTAAAAAGTTTTTAATTCAAACAGAATGGAAGCTCTGATAAAGTTGAGGCCTACAGAGATAGAGCAGAAGAGAATTTGGTGGCTAAAAATATTAGATTAAAAAGAAGCCTTTACAACAGGACAGTAGGAGGGATGTGTTGAGGCTATGTGAGGAAGCAGTAAGGCCCAATCCTTTGCAAGCTCAAAATTGCAGAAGTGATTTTGCTTTGAGAAGAGAACCCCAGGGTACTCCGTTGGAGAAGGGGCTCAAAGGAATTGACTCCCTGGGATTCCGCTCACCATGCTCAGCCATCTGGGCACACAGAGGCCTCTGCAACTAGCAAGTTGCAAAAGGGCCAGGCTGCAGCTCCAGCTTGCAGCAGACCTTGGTGTCATCCACACACTGCTGGTCTTAAATGCATGCAGAATGCGAGAGCTTTGTGGTCAGGAAGGCTTCCACCCAGATTTCAGAAGAGGGCCTAGAAGGCCAAAGAATGTGCCCCTGGAGAGGGTAGTGTGTGAAGCTGTGAGTGTGAAGCCAAAGGTGCAGTGAAAACCTCAGAATGTTGGAAAAGCCAGGAACATGGATCCTCTGAGGACAGCTGCAAGAAGTGAACAAAGCTGGTCCAAGCCATTAGGACTATGGCAACTCCGAAGAGATGGACTAAGTGCATTTTGCATAGAGATGCACATGAGTCTTTTGAAGGGCCCAGGGCCAGAATGTTATGGTTTAGATCTCGATACCGGCCTCCCAAAGCCTCCAAGAACATTCGCTTGAAATAAAGTCATGAAGAATGACTCAAGCATAGTGTCCTGAGTGCCAGTTTGCTGGCCTATTTGGGGATGTATCAACCCTCTGGCTGTGGTGCGCACACATGCCTTGCTGGTCTTTTGGCTTCTGCCTTTGCCTGATCCTTGTATCTTTCTTCCCTCTTCCTCTGGTCTGAACTTGTGTCCTGGGGCTGAGTGAGGACGAGGAGTTTTACTGGACCCAGCCCCTGTTTAAGGTCTGCTGCTCTCCTTGCCTGGCTGGACCTCCCTTCCACAGGGGTGGGTTCTCAGGTTTTCAAGGCCTAACAGAGCCTTTGGGTTTCCGGGTACATATTTATGGGCTCCTGGTGTATTAGGAACACAGAGAGGAGTAAAGAGGGTTTGTATTTATGTGTAAATGTTCAAGTGAGATTTCCTGTCATGGATGGTAATTTCTTTTAGATGCTGGGCTATGGGTTATAAAATACACCAGACATTTTGCTGCTTATCTTTTAGTGAAATTTAAAAATCAAAATAATACAGCTAAGTATTCTAACTTTAAGGCATTTAGTTTTGATTTATATGCATGTCCCTTTACAGGACTATTTAATAGTGATCAGATTAATGCACATTGTGATTGGGATTTTATTTGTTTATTGTTTGACATGAGATCTATGTTGCTCAGCCTGATCTTGAACTGGAGTCAGGTTTCCTCTTGCCTCGGCCTCCAGAACTCTGAGACTCTCAGCACTGCTACGCCTGGCCTGTGATTTCAGTTTTAATGGTTATTGTTGGAAAAGAGTTCACAATTACTGTTGCAATACTTGTAAGAATTTAAGGTCCACATAACACACTTGTATTTTATCCTCTTTACCAAGTTCTTCGCACACGACAAACAAGCTGGAAAGCACTTCTGCGAGCCTGCTTACCATTTCACCTGCATTCATTCACTGATCGGGCATTTTATCCATTGCTTATTCTGTGCTTGATCAGATGGCTGGAACTGGGAGTGAAAGGGGGCGTCTCAGAGCCCAGTGGCCTTCAGGGATGAACAGTCCTCCAGCTCGGGAGATCCTACGCGGAGCACGAGGCTTCCACCACTCTGACTTCAAAGGCTTGCTGCCGAGTTTGGGGCCCGGCCCACCCCAGTCCGGCGTCTCCAGCGCTCCTCCAAGAGGCGGGGCTGGCTCTGGAAGTTTGTCGTTACGTCCGGAGTTCGTGTGTGGGCTGGCGCCGGGAGGAAAGCGACAAACCCTGACAGAGCGCCCTCCCCCTCCGTGACAGCCGGCCTGGCCGAGCAGCAGGAGCCGGAGCGAGCCGCGCGGAGGCCGCTGCGTCGTACACATCGGTACGGGCGCCCCGGATCACGCGGGCGGGGACCCGCGACCCTCGCGGCCCGTACTCGGCTGGGGAGGCGGCGACAGCGCCGGGAGCCCCCGCAACCCCCACACCCGGGACGGGCCCCCACTTCCTCCCGCGCCCGGCTCCTCCTCCCGCGGCTCCGCCCCGGCCCCAGACGCAGCGCCCCGTCGACCCCGCCCCGCGCCCCACTGCCCCCGGCTCGGGAGGCTCGGCCGGCTGCCGAGGAGCGCAGTGGGCCCCTCGTGCGCCCCGCCATGGCCCGCTCTCTGCTGCTGCTGCCGCTCTCGCTGCTGCCGCCGCCCGGCGGCGCCTTCAACCTGGACGCCGACAGCCCGGCCGAGTACGCTGCCCCCGAGGGCAGCTACTTCGGCTTCGCCGTGGACTTCTTCGCGCCCAGCGCGTCCTCGTAAGTGGCCGCGCGTGGAACCGAGCGCCCCCCACGCTGGACCGCGCGATCGGGCCCGGG